TTCGCGCCCCCTAATCGCTCCACTTTGGCGCCGTCGGTAGAAACGGACGTCCGTTTTGAAATTTTAAATGTTTCTTTAATCCTCTGCAGATATTGATACTCAGTCATCCTCAGTCGGTCCCGTTTCGCTAAAGACCTTTGAAAAATTCATGCGATGTTGTTTATCACTGTAAGATCCGAAGGTGGTCCCGGAAAACCTTCTGGTTGATCTGATCTGACGATTCTGGTAGGTCGCACTTCCGTTCTGTACGGATCTGATTACTAACGATCATTCTCAGCCCGATAGCATCCCATCAAATTTGACTTCATAACAACAAACAAAAATTATTATTATTTTGTCCAAATTCTCCCGGTTTAATGGAGTAACGTGTTGCCGGTTTTATTGTAATGCAAAATCTTACGACCGTAATTCGCTTATCTGCACCATTCGTCGGCGTACCCAGCAATCATAATGTGAACCTACTCAATAAAGGTGATGCAGAGGAAGAGATTTATCTATATTGCGATGAATCGAATGGAGCGCAATCAAATTATCATTACACGAACCGCCAAGTGCGCGACGCATACCGTGTTTGTCGAGACGTATACTTTTGCTTGTTGGTCCTGTGCACCGTGGGAAATTTATCGAATCTGGTGGTTCTTATACGTAGTGTGCCAACTTGGAAGACATCAGCGTGTCATTACATGATCGGCACAGCAGTTGCTGATTTGGCAGCATTGTAAGCTGGCAAATAATTATACTAACAAGTATTATACGCTTTGACCTAAGAAATTAATACAACTTTGATTAAAGATAAAAGCCCAACGCAGTTTTTTGCTCAAAGTAGCACACTCGGTGTCCAGACGGAATACGCATGGATTCGCGTCGTGACTCCGAGGAAATCTTAGATATCCTTCAATCTTAGGTCTCTTCGATAGATAACCTTTATTCTGCTTTGAAATTTTGTGACGCTTAGACAAATGTTGTCAGTTAATGACTGATGTTAGTGAACATATTAAAAGGCAGAAGCACAACGCAAAGTGCCATTCGTTAAAACTGCACAACAAGCTTTGAAGTAAGTGCTTCTTCAGGTGGTTTGGTATTGGCAAGTTTTTATCGGACCAAGCAATGCTGGCACCACAGGGCCACCCCGGATACCATCTCCTTATTCCATGGTTTTGTGATTCTTCCATGACTTTATCCGATTGGTAAGGTACTCGACAATTAGATTCACAAAATAAGACTGCATGATCGTCCCTATAGGATCTTGGTGGTCTTCTCCTGGGAGCGGCTTCTGGTGATTATGAGCCCGTTTCGTTTCCAGTTTCTACAACGGATTTCCGTCGCGCGTTTGGTTATCATCCTGCTCGTCATCTTTTCTCTGGGATGCCACATCAACATTTTTCTGTCTGAGTATTTTTTGTTTGTGCACGTCTTCAGCGGCTATACGTACTACCCTCCACCGTGGTTTAGACCTTGGCAAGAAATAAGCAAGCTGGGGCTGGTATGTACAGTACAGAAGCATGTACTGAAAGGTACAATGTATCAAGCAAAAGTTTATGTTTAAGTTTATGTTTAAGTTTGTTTTTTAAAATTTAAAAATTTCAATTTTATGCACCGAAAATGGAAAATGTGTCTCGGACTCCTCTCTTACAGTCTCTCCTATTTGCAGATTACGTTACGAATCGTGACATTTGTGATGGTCCTTATTCCAAATTTATTTCTGATAATCTTCCTTTCTCGCCAACGACAATCCGAATTTGGCCAGATGCGCCGTCTGCAGAAAGCCAACCTCGAGGCAACCGCGCCAGCTCCTGCCAGCAAAACTTTATCGCAGCACGCAACCAACATGATCTTGTTGAGCAGTGCACTGCTATATCTCGTCACGCGCACCCCCAAGTTTTTCGATTTATGCACCACGATGCTGCCGCTGGGCATGGAATTTAGATACCTTACAGATACGTGCCTGAATAATTTTATGGCGCCGATTTTCGTCGTAGCAACCTACATGGGTTACTCGCTGAATTTCTACGTCTACTTGGTTACCGAACGTCAATACCGACGCCGATTCGTGGAAGTACTTGTGCAAGATGTGTGTCGTTCATGCTTAGCCAAAGTGTTAACGGCTAGAACCCAGGAATCCCGAATGAAAGCTGCGGAGATGGAAGCGAAGTTTTAAACGGAGATCACACGGCTGTAAAACCAATTTTTTTATGCGCTTTGTCTAATATCATATGAAAAGATATTGATAGCTCTGGAAAAAGATTGTTAAAAATGGGTTTTTTCCGTTTACATACATCTGTACCTGTTTATTTTTGCGGAGCAGTGGTCAGTTCACTGACCACTGGATTACTTATTGTTTCGAAGTTCCTTTATTTGCTACACGATTAGTGCTCGTGGTTTTTTTTTACCTTACCACCGTCTTGGCCTATTGGCGTTGCCAAACACACCGGTTAACGCCGGAGACCAAATGTTAGTGAAGGCACAAAAAAATTCGCTTTGTTAATTGATTTTTTTCTATTGAAAAATCCAAGTTTTCAAAAAGAAATTGGCACTACTTCAGGTAATTTGCGCTGGAAGGTTAACACTGATTAGCCAATCCCGCATTGTTAAAACGCAGGCTATTATGTACAGTACCGTACTACATTGTTCCAACTGTGACTCTGTGAAAGTAAGAGGAAGTACACAAATGACTGTAGGTACCGCGATTACACATATTGTACAACTTCGTTACAATAAGTAAGAGCGAATACAAGCGGAATACGTGGGAATTTAGGGGCACACCTAGAGAATACCGAAATAACACGGCTAAGAGTTTTACAGTAGACTTACTTTGCAGATACAGGCGGGATACATGGGAACAAAAGATGTCGATTTTATAATGGCAGGAAATGGGCCATTTCTAAATTAGATAAATTAGATCTCAGTTAACTTAGATCCGGTCTTTAGTATGCGTATTAATGGGGTTTCTGAACTAGTACATCAAAAATAAAGTGAAACGGTTAGCAAGCGTAGCAGTGTCAGTTTCTCCAGCAGTTATGGATCATTTGGTCAAGCAAGATAGTTACGAGGACAATAGGGTGCTGTGAACATACCCTTCACGATTAGGGTGCAATGAACATCCGACTAGTTCTGCAGCTCGCAACGCTGCTGTCCTCGTACTGTTCATACTGAAAAGGATGGAAGTTTCGTGCACATTACTTATTACTTCTAAAATGGGTTTGAAAATACGATAAATTTTTGTGGACCGTAATTTGTCGAAACAGACGGTGAAAATACTTGAGTAAAGAAAATTTTCTGTAAAGTTAGTTCCCGGGTGTTCATCGCACCCTAATCGTGAAGGGTATGTTCACAGCACCCAATTGTCCTCGTATGGTTGCTTTGGGTTCTTGTAGACACAGTACACGATGCATGTCCACAACTCAACGGTTCCTTGCACAAATCTTACTCAAAGTCTATGAGAAACAAATAACTAAGTGTAACAGATGACAGCCGAGGACACACGAGTGAGCTTTATTGACAAATAAGGGGGATACAGTGCTGCGTAATAGCAGGAAGAAAAGACCAAGCCAATGTCTGGCAAGAATCTCGCAAGTGTAGCTGAAACGGTTCTTGAGCGTCTGTCAAGGCGCGTAGTCAAGCTGAACAGACAGAGCTACATGCACATAGACCTAGAGCATATATATATGATTCCAGATGCATATAGGCCGCTTTTTGCTTGAAGTCTTAGAAGAAGCAAAAAAGCCGAAGAATGCCCGGCGCTACTCGGACGATGTAATTGGGCTTTTCATGGTGCTGGAGAACCAAGCTGGGCGGGGATATGAACTGATTCGGAAGCTGTTACCTGGACCGTGCAGTCGGACTATCCGTCGGTTCCGTGCCATTATGCCAGCTGATGCCGGTTTTACACGGTTTATGAAGAACATTTTAACAGATTTGGCGACCGAATTGGATTCCCGAAATAGAGTGGTGTCAATTACGATGACGCTCACATTACAAAAGCCCCCGACTTCAACAAAGCCAAAGATCAGATTGAGGGTTATCCTGACCTTGGTGGCCATTTCGGAGATTTCTCTCCAGCTCAACAAATGAAGCAGAAAACAAATTTAGCCAACAAAGTCACGGCTTTTAACATCTGTGGTCTACGGAAGAAGTTTTTTCACTCGTTCCAGTATTTCACCAGCCATGGATGACTTCCAGGGCCAGTGGTGGAGAAAGTTATTGTCAGCGCTGTTCGAAATATCCGAGCTACCGGCTTTAATCCTCTTAATGTGTGCATGGACGGAGGCAACAACAGCACGGCTGGCAGCCGAAGGCTGGGTGTGTTTGCTGAAGATGGGTAAGATTTTTCAAAATAACATATCAATTTATACACATACATTTACACATTTATACATTGTACAAATAGCATATTATTATGTCACGTTAATTTTTGTTTTTGTGCTTATACCTATATCCATATAGAATTTAAATTTTGTACGCTTTAATAAGCAACAGCCACCAAGATAACAACAGGGATATTTTTAATTCACGAGCGCTGTGTGTAGCTGCAGTCTAGTTGTAAATGGAATGAGTAAACTGGAATACGTGGCATTTGGAAGGCTAGAAGCCCTCCCTCTGCCTGGTTCTGAGATGGGGCTTGTGTTCTTACATCGGATCGGCGAAAAGTTTCTACGCTACAGAGTATGTCCGGACCTCTTATAAAAGTAGCTCTGTCTGTTCAGCTTGACTACGGTACAGTTGTACAATTTGAGATGCTTCACGGTACTGAAATTCGAAAGACGCCGTCAGATACTATGTGCTCTATAGCGCTTTGTGGTGTCATTTCAATTTCATACACGCATAAATACGACAACATTGTATGTTGAAATTACCGTATCATTTCGTTTATTTAACTGGCTGATACTGCAAGGCAATTATTGTTACCCGGCTTATCTGTAAGGTAAATATTCTCTTTGAGAGATATACAACCGTTCTTTTGTCATTAATTTTATTCCGATAGAAAGCCATCAAGCGCGGCCAGTGCCTTTGTCATAATGCACCTTCAACACCGCATTATTTCTAACACAAGCGTTTCCCGTGCTCTTCCGAATTTACTGTTATTCTGATATTTCCATGAAGCGCTTAACAATATTCGTTGCCTTTATTGTGTTTTTGTTCTCCACCGGAGTGAGTGGAACATACCCTTATGCTTTCAGTAAGAGTGACTGGAGTGCTCTAGGCCCAGTTTTTCAGTCCACTGCAGTTCCCTTTAACAAATTCAAAATGTTCTGAGACTATCAAACCATAACGTGACATTTGGTGCACATGTTTGCACTCTAGCGTTTCGCAATTTTTCTTACACTTATAGCTAATTTTCAGTTTATCAAATTATATGGGCAGCAGTAAATAAGAATTGTGTTGGTAGTTGAAATGGATCGTAAGTGCGGTCAGACCGTGGAGCTCGGCTGTCCACCATATTCCCATTCCGTAGTTTCCACAAGCGCCGGAACATTGCGCTACAATCCTGTTCCGACTGGAAATTGCACCGTTAACATCGTCACCACCATCGCCGCCGGCAACTGCAGCACGACGCCCACGTGGTACATGAATATCAAGTCAGTGCACCGCTGTTATTCAATGTATTGGTTTAGATTAACAAAAATAGATATATTGATTTTCGCTGGCATGCATTTCCGCTTCGGTCACTATGCGTATTCGATTTGGTGCAGAAAATCGTGGCTGTCCGCGGGTGCCGCACTGCACATCCTTCTGACAGATAACGGCCAGGACTGGACAACAGTGAAGAGCATCCCGGGCGGTCGCATTCCAATTTACCCAAATCCTACCTCCGCGGCCCAGCTGAAAACTCGTGTCACTTCCCATAAGACGCAGCTGAGCATTGTGTATATTGGCGATGGAAGAAATTCCAGTTATGAACACGAACTGCTGATCGACTACGCCATACTGATTGGTGAGTTCCAGTGGTGGAATAACCTACTTTGTTAAGCTTAGACGAAATCGACCACATGGTTTTTCGCTAACGGTCGATCGCTTCGAGTTTTATGGGGAAAAGGGCATAAAAAAGAGGATCGTATTAACCACAGAGCTGATTCGAATTACTTCAAAAATTTTAGGACCTGAAAATTTGCTTATCTGAAGTACTACCCATTACCCAGTATGTATAAGGTTACTTACTATTGTTAATTTGTTACGAAAAGTGAAGTTTTTCTGCACAGACGACAGTAGTGCGACTGGAGTTTGGTGTTCAGCGCTGGGCGGGTACGTTCACGAAGATATTGCCTGTAACGGAGAGGACCGCGTCACGTGTCCCGAAAATTACGACGAAGTGGTGGATCGCAATCCAGCCTACGATTTCGGCGCTTGCGGTGAGAGATAACTTAATTTTAGCAAGTCGGACGTATGGTTAAAAGTTGCCCAACCTAGGACTCGAACCCAGGGCATGCAATCTTAAAGCCAGACGTACTACCACTAGGCTATGGGCAATTGACATTAAATATTTGATTATAATATTACTGCAACTGCAGTAGCCAAATTCTGTTAAACTTCAACATGCTTACTTCAAGGGTCGTCGGATTTTCAAATTTTTTGAAGAATATAAGACGCGTCATGTTGGGGACTGGTATTCAGTTCGTAAGTCATTACACGTAGTTAAAAGTGCCATCCACTTTACAGCGCCTTAAGTTCCAAGAAAACTTAAGAATCCTAAAACATATCTGAAACCTAAGCTGAGAGAAGTCGCTGAAGTAGCCACAATAGCGAAAGCTTTTCCGCTGCCCTAAATGCGGCAAAATACGAGTATGTTGCAGAAGGATATTTTGACTCAGTGCGCGGCTATCTGTTTGTTGATGATGATGAGTTTTGTGGACATTTCCAGGTCTGGACGGTTTTGATATCTTCGGCATCGTTGTCGGCTGCGCATTTGGTCTGCTGTTTCTTGGCCTTGGCTTAACATGCTGGTACTGTATAAAAAACCAGTATTGATTTCTCTGCCCCCATAATTTGTGGGATTGGTAATGAGATGAATTAGTAAGCCGATGTTGGATTATTCCGCCGTATAATGGATCGCGGAGCCGGGGATTCCGAAATAGAACGGAGCGCAGTGAAGGTCCTTTAATTCAGCAAAAAATAAAAAAGTGCCTTTCTGCCCGTCTGTCTGTCCCCATGACGTCACTAGTGATTATCTATCCCTTATCACGTCACATTGTCGTCATTAGTACCTCTTTCGGTCATGCTGCCCTCTTGAATGCTTGTACTACACCACGATAGTACTTACTACTTACCGTACAAGTATTTCACATTAATACCATGGGATTGTTTACGCAATACGGTTTTCTGTAAACTATTAATAACATCGTCATCCAATAAAGTTAGACACTAAGTTAGACACTGTACTCAGTCTATCAATCAGTAATTATAAACACTTCACTAGTGTTGGTAAGGATAGGGGAGCTTAAAACTGCGAAATCACGTTGGCTTTAGTACAAGTGTGCAGCAGTTTGCAAAATTCTCTACCGGTACCAGTGCCACTGCCACCATTGATGCCAGTGCCGCACATGCGAGTATATCAGCCGGGCTTGGCGGCCCCCGCTACTGGTACGACTGATAATCTCACGGCACCGCGACATTTCGCCGCGGACAATTAGTCGCAGAACTTTTGGTTGCAGACATTTAACCGCAAGGAAATCTCGCCGCGCAACGTTTCGTCGCAGGACATTTCGTCGGTAGGATTTTACGCCGCGCGACTTTCCGTCGCATGGCTGCTTCGACGCAAGGAAATTTCGCCGCAAGGATATCTCGACGACGCGACATATCGCCTGTCAGATAAATGATTTACTAAGCTAAATAAAAGAGTCAAAAAAGGGAAAATTAAAAAACAAAACCAAACGAACAACCTAAGAAACCCAAGACACCCACAAAAAGCCCGAAAAACCTAAGAAACCTAAGTAACCTAAGAAACCTAAGAAACCTAAGAAATCTGAGAAGCCTAAGAAAACCTACGAAACCTAAGAAAACCTAAGAAACCTAAGTAATCTAATAAATCTAGTAAACCTAAGAAACCTAAGAAGCTTAAGGAAATCTAAGAAAGCAGAAGAAGACCTAAGAAAGTCTAGGAAAGACTAAGAAACCTAATAACAAGTAATAACTAATAAGAAGCCTAAAAAAACGGAAAATCTAGTGAGAATTAAGCGCAGTGAATTATTTTGCGGCGATTAGTCCCATCGTTCGGAGGAAAGTCCCAAGACGAAATGTCCGAGACCAGACTTCTTCCGTCGAAATGTCGCAAAGATAAAATGTCTCAAAGCATAATGTCCCAAACCGAAGTGTCCCAGCGTCCGAATGTCCGGCGGCGAAATTTCTTCGCGGCGAAAAGTCGCGCGTCGAGTTTGAGTGCGGCGAAATGTCACACTCCCAATTGTCCGAGTGCGGAAGGGGCACCAGACTGGTAGTGCAGCATCTGTTTCTTGAGATACGTGTATGGGGGAAGGGGGAAATAAGACTCAAAAAGTTATAAAGCGCCAACTGGTGCAGTACCGGAATGGATTGCTTTTTAAACAATTTTATGATAAGACTTGAAAATGTAGAGATGCTTTCTGCACGGAACTAGCTCCAGCACTTACTTTCATTGCTTATTGAACTGGCTTACAGGAATTCAAGAATTTATTTTTACAACACATTAATAGAGCACCAACAACGAACGCTACGTCATTATTTCGCTACAAAATGCACGAATGGACCATTTTGGACGAGTACCGATTTTAGGACGAGCACAAAATGCTGGCTTTCCGTAGTTTTAGGAAATGCAGAATTATCTAGAGAGTTTATCTGCTATAGATATTTTAGAGAGCGGAATTCTTGCATAAGCTGATTCTGGAAAGGACATTTCGGCATATAATTGTTGTGTATGGTCATTCTCACAATATGTACAATTATGACCATTTCAACACATTCAGACCTACATACTTCCAAAGTTCCTGATAATGATTCCAAGTAAGATAGTTCTTGCTTAAAATAATTATTAGTAAATAATTAGTAGTAGAGCTTGAAGTTGTTTCGCATGTGTTTTTGGTACTCGTATTATAGTTAGTGGGTTTCTTTTTCCGATCAATACATGCAGTTTCAGACCTTTATTTTATCACTAAGCCTTTACTGATGATTCCGTTGTATAGATTCACTTTCTGAATTACCAAAAGCAGAAAAGACCCAATGCCGCAATGGCAGGACAGCTTGTTAACAAAACAATAAACGCTACCGACTTTCGACCAATAAACCAATTGGTGCACTTTCCTTGCTGTCGAATTAAGAGTCGTGGATGCACATGCTTACTTGCAGTAACGTGCGGTAACCAGCTTATAAACTTTATTAAATTTTTACATCTTAAACGACCTTTCTGGAATTCCGATCACTGTACTGAAGTACAGATGTTTCTTGTCAACACCAGTTCATGCATAAAACAGATACTTTTCAGTTCGTGCCACAGCACACGTGATCCCATGAAAGAAATTGTTGAACACACAGTGTAACGGACCATCCCGATTTGTTCATTTCATGAGGTTTTGATTTGTTCATCTGCATGTGAGCGTAACAAGGGCACTTGTGACTTGACATTTCAGTGACAGGCTCTTACTAACAAGCGCTCGCTAGGGGGCTCCCAGTGCAGCAAAGCGATTAAATTTCTGGTGGCTTTTAAACTCGGATACGTACAGTCGTCTGGACCTTTAAAATTAGTGTACCATTTTATTTATTTAAGCGGCCGTCCCTGCTGTTATTTCAGTGCTTACCTGAAAATCTATTTAATTATTGTCTATTTCATGGATAGTAATTATATCCTTCTTTAAAGATTAATATGTTCAGTTCCTCGGGCAGTCAACCGACAACTAGCGAAAAGCTCTCACCACCATGGATCTTAAAGACATCTCGTCTTTTCAACACTTCAACATTTTCTTTATTTTGAAAAACCTGTTTCCAGTTCACTGGCATCGTGCCAGTTTGCAAACATGCAGCGCTTCATCGTGATGTTTCTTGGAATTGTTTTGCGATGTTCCTCCGTCGCAACATATCCTTTTGCCACCAGTAAGAGCAGATGCATAATTTTATCGAGTGCACCGAGTACAATTGAATGTAAAACGAATTATAAAAGGTAGACACTTCTTTTTTTCTGCACATTGCGCATACCGTAAAAGCGCTTCTCTGTTCAAATCCTGTGGTGCGAATGTGGGCGCTTTGGGTTTGATCTCTGTGGCGACAGACTGTTGCACGATATTTGCTTTTCGAATCGCGAGACGATTGGCCAATTTGGCGATTTCTAACTTTTCTTCTTCCACAGATGAGGGCTGTTATCGGCCGTAACAAGCTTTATGGGAAGCGTGCCGGTTCATAGCACATGCAAGAGAACTTTTACTTCCGTGCCCTTTAAAACAGTGTAATTTCAAACTGTTTTAATGGCATTCTGCAGCTGAATATTTGTAAAAACTGCTATGAGACCCGATTGTGCGGGCTAAGGAAAAGTGAGTGAAATAGAACTGCAGAATGTTCAAACGCAGACAGGTTAACCAGAAGTCTGGTTTTCACCGATCTTCACATTGTACTCAAAAAGCACACAAGTGTGGAGACCGGTTTTGACCGAACCAGATATCTTTTTTCTAAATGTCCTAACGTTCATTTTAAACGTTTGGACAAAAACAGAACCGGTTCGAAAAAAGCAGAGAACCAAAATAGACATTTTTATTCCGTTCCAGGCAAAATTTGGAAAAGTTCGGTTCGCAATACGGCTTCTGATGGACCTGCTTCCGTTTTGACATTTTCGAATATTCAATCTTAACTCCCAACCGGTTGATTCTCTCATAAATGGATTCCACGTTATTGCAGGCAGATCATTTAGCTACAAGTCATAAAACACGGGAAAGTGCCTGGGAATGTGCGAAAGCGATAGTTTAGTGCATATATACTCTTACACTGTAACACTGATATGCTATGAACCGGCAAAAGGCCCTTAATTTTGAGACCTCATATTGCATTACCGTACACTGGAATCGTGTGTCTAGTTGAGATGGACCAAAAATGTGGTCAGATCGTGGAGCTCGGTTGTCCTTATGGCATGTCTACCATAATCGCCGGGACTATGCTGTACAGTACTGTTCCCTCTGGAAGATGTACTGTCGACATCCTCATGAGCATTGCCGCCACAAACTGCACCCCGACGCCCACTTGGTACATTAATATCAAGTAAGTTTATAGTTTGGACGAGGCTGTTTCAGCGACGAATGACCTCTGTATGCGAGCAGTACATAGGTCTCGCAGATAACCAAAGTATTGGATTGCAATGTATCTGTAGTACAACAGTACTGTGTTATAGTGCATGCAGTCAGCGAGAACACACTTTGCTCGAAAAACTACTAAAAACTCCGTCCTTCCTTGAACAACAGTTACGTTATTCGAATTGCGTAGAGCGTCGTAGTATCTTAAATGGCTCAAGCCATGAGTTTTTCTTTTTCGCTGTTACAGTGTTCACCCGTTCCTGAGAGGGGCTTACATATCAAACACCGCAACTAATTCGCCGCAATCGAATTTGATACCTTAGTTGTCACAGTTTTTTGTCTAGATTTTCATGTTTTTTTTCGCGGGTTTTATTAGATTTGTTCAGGTTTGTTAAAATTTTTAGGTATCTTAGGTTTTCTCCGGTTTTTCTTAGGCTTTCTTGGGTTTTTTAGGTTTAAAATTACTGAGTGTTTTAATAAACTTAATGAAAATTTGTCTTTTAAATGCCATGCCTTTTCGTTGAGACGGACATGAGGCAAAACGTATCGTACTCGAAACGGCCTCGTGAAGAAATGTCTCGCGGCAAAATGTCCTAATATTAGGCGACGAAACCTCGCGCGACGAGATGGAACTGCGGCAAAATTTCGGCGAACAATTTTCCTGCGACTAGTTGAATCCGTGGTAATGTGGCTGTCCCCAAACTAGTAACTACCCTCGTGATATTTGAAACTGCCAAAGTTGGTTGGTTTTAAAAGGGTGATCATTTTAAAAGGTTAATGATGATCTGTGAAAACAACCAATGGAGTATGGTGTAAAACCTGTACCTAGACTTGTTCCAGAATGAGCAAAAATTTACGGTATGCATGAATTGGCAGAAAATCGATCATTTCCAAAGGAGCTGAGCTGCATATTCTCCAAACGGACAATGCCCAGGATTGGGCAGTGGTAAAGCGCATCCCCGGCGGCCACCGTAGAACAGGCTCGTATTGTCCCTCTGTGGCTAACCTGAAAACCCGCATCATCTCGTATAAAACGCACCTGCGAATCGAGTACATTGGTGATGGGAGTAATTCCAGTCGCAACCAACTTGAGATCGACT